GGGGGGGGGTGGAGATCAGGTAGGGTGGGTACCCTCCTGAACTTCCGCGTCCTCAAAACACAGCCATCTTCCTCCATGCCCCAGGGGTGACAGGATACTGGAAAATGGACAGCAATGGAGATCGGGAGACCGACTTCTCCCTCTGGGATATGCATCCTGAGACTGGCACTTTCAGGGTAAGGGTGTGCCCCCAGAAGACAGTGCCATATAGGCAGGAAGGACGTCTTGCCCTCCCTCCTTCCCCCAGGGCATCTGTCGGCTCCGTTGTCACTCCACCACGCTTGCTCGCTCGCTTTTGGAGAGCCTTGGGTAGAAGAGACCCAGCTCTGGTCTGGGGGAGCAACCAGAATGATAGGGACTCACAAGCATTACCCTTGGGGAGCCCCAGCTCTGAGGAGGGGGCACAGCCCTAACTTCAGGAAGTCCCACATCTCCTAAGACAGGCAGGCCCCTCTCCCAGCAGAGACAGGCTCATGTGGTGGCCACACAGCTCATTAAATTCAGTCAGGAACAGGAAGGAATTGAGGCCACAAGTGCTGAGGAGCAGATCACTCGGGGAAGACTTCCTGGAGGAGGGGTACGTGGCTTAGGCCTGCGAATGTGGACTGAGAACACTGCCTTTTCCTGTTTCCTATGTGCTTCAGTCCAAGATCATAAACTCCCTGATGTCGAGTCGGGGTTCTACGTGGAGTTTTCTTCATAAAGCCCTTGAGTAATTTTCAGGTTTTTCCACTCTGGTGACCGGGGTATGAGGGGCTTGGTAAACAGTGGACAGCCCAGACACAGGCCGGGGAAGCAGAGATGGGGGAGGCCACGCAGCTCCACTGGACGGGAAGCGTCGCCCCAGGCCTTGCCCTCCTGCCACTCCTGCCCTCCCGTAGGTGGTTCTGAACTACAATGGGACCTCCCGAGAGCTGGTGGCCGTGCCAGGGCACGAACTAAGCTGGCCCCTGGGCCACCCACCTCCTGACATCCCCAAATGTGGCTTTGACAACGAGGACCCGGCTTGCAACCAAGGTGACTGCCTCTTGCCTTCCAGGCCTCCGTTCTGGAGAGGCTCCTGCTTCAGGAGTCAGATGGGTGCTCCTCTCCCACACTCAGGGCTTTCTGGAGGGACATCTGCCTTTTTCTTCCCTTCACTCACCTTCCTAGTTCACCGAGGGACTATTAGAAGGTTCCTCTTTCCGCTCTCTAACCCAAATCTCTCCTGCTGCAACTTGGACTCTTGTGTAGACCACTTTTCCACGCTGGAAGTTCTGGCCGTGGTGGGCAGCCTCTCCCTGCTCAGCATTCTGACCGTCTCCTTCTTCATATACAGGTGAGATTTGGAGGCGGGTGGGGAGTGAGGCTGGGGGGCCTGGAGAACTAGCTGACGAGGTGGCAGGGACCTGCAGGGAAGCGGGAGAGGTGGCGGAAGGCCGAGGGAGGTGGGGGAGGAGATGAGGCTAAAAAGCCGCAGGGCACAGGGAGGAGAGAAGAGGGGCCGGAGGG